TTAAGCTTTTGGTGTCTGAGAACTGAGTTATATAGCAAACACTTCTTTTGGTGATATATGAGCACTTGAATACTCTGCTGGTGACCACAGATCTGGGCATTAGAAATATTAACTCTGTTGTCCACTCAGTTTTCACTTCTCTGCTAAAGTAATTGTGTTGTCAGTTGGGCAGTACTGCTTTTGGCTGTAAAGCACAGTGGGAGAAAAACATTAACCAGCAATCATATCGAATTCTTATCATCGCTCGATAGCCGTAACAAAGGTTACTTTTTTACTTCCTTATCCATAATTCAGTCGCTGTAATTGTCAAGATAATTTTCCAAGTATACAGGAACTAAGTATACATGAACAGATTTGCTGGGATCTTGCTATCAACAAAAAGCACAAATGGCTGGTTTGATATTTGTCTAAGTTTCAGATGAGTGTAGGAGACAGGTTTGTTCCTAGTTTTGCCTATACTGATCTTCCATTTCTTAAATCAAACGCTCAGCATCAAAAAACAGTTTTTATATTATTGAACTTGAGGGCTACAAGAGGCAGAACTGAACTGGGTGCTTTGCCTGTGTGGGCTGTGCAAGAATTGCATCTCTTTTTAAAATGTGCTGTAATAAGTGTTTTATAATGAAACCACATGAACTCAGGCAATATTAGTTTGCTGCACACAGTTGTAAAGCACATGGGAAATATGGTTGGCACAGCTGTTGGCATTAAGATTGGCAAGGTGTGACTGCAGAAAACTCTTGACTTGGAAGTTTTTAAATAATAGCATGAAAATCTGTAATAAGAATGAATATCCTTTACACAGTAACCCACTGGAATGTAGTTGAGGGCAGTGTGAAATTTGCTGTGCTACAAGACTGAGCTGTTTGCAGGGACTGCTGTTAACTCTTCCTCAGTCCCCAAAGATTGAAGTATCCATTCCTGATTTGATTAGAGAAATACAACTTTATTACAGTGATTTTTTTTCTTGTCTTGTTCTTCTTTAAATGGTACTTTTTTTGAGACTTAAAGGTGCAGGAGACTTGATGCACTTGACTGATGACATAATATTAAATTGAGAGATTACATCAAATAATTGTTTTTCTTTCTCGAAGGAGTCGCTTTGTCTGCTGCAGAGTCTTCTAGTCCACGTTTTGTGGCAAGCTTTTGTCATTCTTAATTAAACCTTAATAGTATCAAGTCTAGCTGGGTATTTTTAAGGGCTACCTCATCTCCCCTCAGTTTTTAACCTGTCTTTTTAAGTGTTTAGTTTAGTTGAACTTTTCTTGCATTGCTCTGGGGAGTGCTGTCACGGGTCTTTTTAAAGGATCTGATTTTTACAGAGTTCAGCTTTTTTTCATGCCCAGATTGTTTAACTGTTGTTTTGGGTGTTTGTTATTTTTTTTTAAATTGTCTTTTAGGGCGCTCTGGATTTTTAAGAAATCCTGTTTGAACTTCTTGGATACCATGCCTGCTTCTGACAAAATATCTTTGTTTATCCCACTTCTCCCTGTGCACTTTCAGAATGAATGTTTTGAAACACTTTTCTTATTTGACCATAAACCTTTTTCACTATAAACGTGAAGCACCAGGGTGTTTAATTTTGTAAAATAACATGAATGGGCCAGTCCATTTGCCTTCTATAAGAAGCAAAAATTGTATGCATGTGCTGAAGAGATTGTCTGGAGGTTTCCATCCATGCTTAATCAGCTCCTTGTACAGGGGAGACCCTGAAAACCTTCTGGAGAAATGGTCAGAGAGCTCAGTTCTAAAACTCACATTGAGAATATTTGTGAGTGGGACCATGGAGAAATCCTGCACCTCAGCCCTGCTTCCCCTTCTGTGTTACTTTGTCATGGCATTTAAAGATGCATGGGCAGTTCCATTTTTATTTTCCTCCTTCCCCCCCTCTTCCCCACCCCCAAACTCTCAGTGCTGGTTTTTGACAAGCAATAGCCAGAGTTCACGTTCAGCCCTGTAGGGAGGTGGAGGCAGCAGGGTCTGGTCCGGTATCTGAGCCAGCTTTTTTTTTTTTTTTTGGCTGTTTCTGAGCACAAGAGAAAACAAGTGACCCAGGCAAATTACAGGAAGAACTGGGTTTCCTAGAGGAACTCGGGGCTCGGGGAGGAAAAGACGTACTCGCACTACGCTTCCGGGAACGCTCGGTGCTGCGTGTGGGGGCATCTGCCAGCACGGCATCCGAGAGCCACGGAAACCCCAAAACCTGCTGAGCTGGCTGGCCTTTCTTGTTACCCACAAACGGGGTGACATCATTTCATCTAGCCTGTGGTTACGTGTTGGATTTGCCAGGCGGTGCGTGCGTACGACACACACGTGTGGGCGCAGCAATCCGCCAGCACAGCGCCGGGCTGGGAAAGGCCGGTCCCTGAGCCCAGGGGCTGCTGCAAGTAGGAGGTTTTACTGGCTGTTATGCACTGGGTTGTTTTGCATTTTCTATCTATATGCTTTTGCTGTGGTACTTATTAAAAATTGAGACAGCCTCCTAGGTTAGATAAGAAAATACTATTTTTGGTGCAGCAACTTTATTTTTTGTAAGCATTTTGCAGAAATACAATTGTTCTATCTTAGAAGCTGTACATCTGTCCTCAATACGTTTTTCTATTCTGTCTAGATGTGAAATACCACTTGGATAGCTACTGCTGCAGGACCTTCTCCTTGTTAATACCACTGCAAGCCATTGAGTATTCATGGCAGATGCAAAATGAGCTTAATTCCCTCTTTTTCTGTTTTACTGCACTAACCTAGTGTGCTGCAAACGAGGAGGAGAAAAGGCAGAGTGGTTTAAAAGCTGGAGCTTGATCCCAAAGTAAACTAACCTTCCCTCCATCCCTCTCAATAAGGCAGCTCTCAGCAAGCTACTTTTCACTGATGTATAAAGACTCTCCTTTTTAATTTCCCTTTTGGGAATATTCTGCTGCTTAAGCCTGACCCTTAATTAGGAGCAAAAGCTGTAAATTACAGCACTCACTGCAGCTGACTTGGAATTTGCTGGTAGCTGGAGGAGTGTCCAAGGTTTGTTGTAGCAAAGCTTTGGACCAGCCCGTGAAATGTGCATGAATGTCGGCCTCCTAGAGTTTAGACCTTTATTAGCTACATTACTAATTGAATGATAGCACAGCATGCAAATTACTGAGATAATCCTGAGCAATAAATACCAGTGGGTTCTTTTCTGGTGGTTTGGGGTTTTTTTTTTCCTTTTTTGTTTTTTTTTTTCCCCTAACCAAAAGGTCTGGCTGCAAAAAAATACCTTTATACATTCTGGATTTTATTTACAATAGCCTCGATTCCAGAGGGAACGTTTTGAGCTATTCTATCCATAGGCTGATTGGGCATCTGATTTGTATAAGCTCAAAGCAGTTGAAAGAGAAGCCAAGTTGTCCCAGTGCCTGTTGTTTGCAGCTGCAGAGTTCCAACATGGGAATGAAAGAACCGTGGCCGAATGCTTTCATGTGGTTTTGTATTGCAGAGTCACAGCCTTGTCTCATAACATCAGGGCACATGATGAGATGGTGAATTTAGATAAGAGAACTCTTTCATCTGCCCCTTGGGGAGGAGATCCTTCACTCTGTCTGGCTCCTGACCGCTTGGCTCTGCCGTGGTGTCCTCCTTTCTGGCAGAGCTGGATTAGGGATAAGTCTACAACAGATGCCCTGTGCAGAGCTCTGTGAGACAGGTCGTTCCTCTGGGGCTGAGCCTGGCTGGCACAGGGAGCAGGTCAAACCTTCATCCTCCACTGTGCAGCACTTCCTGCTGCCTGGGTTCTCCTCCCAGCTACTGCCATCTGTGCCAGCGAGGGGAGGACGAGTCACACCGAGTTTGTTTTCCAATGCTTTTTCTAATAAACTCTTCCCTTCTCATTTATTTTTATCCTTTTAATAAATGGCTTCTCATTTATTTTAGACCCAGACTGAAAAATGTGGACAGAAGTACCGCACAGCAGCTGGCAGTCACAGTGGGAAATGTCACAGTAATTATCACAGACTTTAAAGAAAAGACTCGCTCTTCATCCACGTCGTCTTCTACAGTGACCTCCAGTGCAGGATCAGAACAACAGAATCAGAGCAGCTCGGGCTCTGAGAGCACAGACAAGGGCTCGTCCCGTTCCTCCACGCCAAAGGGGGACATGTCGGCAGTCAACGACGAATCTTTCTGAAAATTGCACATGGAGTTGTGGAAACTATGAATCAGGGTATGAAATTCAAACACTCCACCTGCCCACGCTGTTCAAATCCTGGAGAGCCTCTTCTGTGCTTGAACACACTTTCTCGGACATCGACCTCTTACTGATGCAACCAGGATAATTTCTGCTTGCCGTGGGCATCTGGCCACCAAGGAATTTCTCACCCTAACGATTACTCTTGACACTTTTATGTATTCCATTGTTTTATATGATTTTCCTAACAATCATTTATAATTGGATGTGCTCCTGAATCTACTTTTTTATAATATCTGCTGTGCACAATTTTCCATGAACATGACAACTTTTTGTTTTGGGGTAGGGAGCGGGTGGGGAGGGAAGGGGGCTTTATTTATTGCATTCACAAACTCCATCCTCTTTCAACATATCCTTTTTAAGTTCAGTTCTTCTTCCAGTTATACTGTGTACTATCAGTTTTGATATAAATTATATATAAATATATATATAAATAAATATATATAAAGGGTTATTTGAAACCAATACATGGAAACGCTGGTGCTTGAAACACTGTGAAGTGATTAAAAAAAAAATTGAACAGTTCAAGATCTGGGACAGTCCCCTTCTGTGAAAGTACTGAAACTGAAATGGAACTGGTCTTAGGTGAAAAGTGTTCCTGAGGGTTTGAACCTGGATGGGACCTGTTCTCTCTATTGTTCCTTCCCAATTTCTTCCCTAAGCAATGGCTAAAACATACTGGACACACGGTTTTGATTGTTACAGCTTGGGATCCGAGATGAGAGAGGGTTGCTCCGGGTAGCTTGTGTTTCTACTAGGGTCCCTCAGATTGGTGATGTGCAGGTCCATGCCCAGCTGGAGCGTAACCATTCCCAACCAGACTGCTGGTGTCATGCCATGGATCCGTGTGTTCGGTAACGTGAGCACCACGGTGTCGTGCACAGCCAGTCCCGCAGGTGCTGGTGGTGGTAGAGTTAGTGAATTCCATCCGCCTGCCTCAGTGCCTGAGGGAACTGTAGAACTGGAGTGGTGGCTGTGGGGTGAAGGCAGCAGGGAGCCGTAGGGCTGGCAGCGATCCCGGGTTCAGGAACCAAGCTGGTGCTCGTTCCAGCCGCGTGCGGGTCAGCGGTTGTCAGCCCCTTCCATCTGTCCCATCCCTGCCGTGGGGATGGCTCTTCTCCTTGAAGTCCATCTGTATTCCAAGGGTTGTTTCTGAACAGCATCTTGTCCAGTGATGGGCTTGTCAGCATTTGGACACTTCTGAGTCTCCTGCTGTGGGAGCAAAAGTAGGGAAAAGCTTTCATGCTGGCAAGTGAGCGACATGTGGCTCATGCTCATGACCAGCATCTCCTTCGTTCTTACTCTAAAGCTATTCAGACTATAATTTCTTTTCCTGGCCTGTTAGTGTTGCTTTACAGTTTACCTTCCATGCATTATCCTGCTAAAACACTTGGCTGAAGAGGTGAAACAAACCTTTTTTTAAAAAAAAGCAAAACAAACCCTAAACCTCTTTGGCTTTTCATCTTTTTTTTAGTGGCCCCAGGGTGCTTTGCAGTAATTTCAGGCACAGAGGCTGTGGCTTCATTTGACATGAAATGCATAACTTTTGGGCGTGATGAAAGAGGGCCACATTTTGACAACTTTGTGCCTGTTTGTTGTATTATGAATTATTTGCTCAGTAAGAGAAATTTCTCTTTGTGGAGGCAACTGATTTAAGATTTCTTTTAAAATCTGTGTGGTTTTGAGTAGCAGATGTAGGTTCCTTTCACACTGGTGACAGAAATGTGTGAGTTAGGGATCTGTTACAGCCCCTGCTTGTAGGCATGTGCTTGGCAGTGCCTTGGCAGCAGCAGTTTTATTCTGAATATGTTAACGTGGGCACCCCAACTTAATTCTGCTTATATTCACAGTATAGGCTGTCTTTTTTAAGCATTTTTAAAGTATTAAATAACCAAAGGAAAACAGATGCTTCCTATGAGCATCAAGACAATTTATTATACATAGTTTTAAATACTATGAATATCTCAATCCACATTTTAACATTAGTGGGATATTGCAAAGACATTCCTTTTCCAGTTTTTACTATTCCTTTAAGGGTCTCAGGGAGGGTAAACTGGTCAGCCATATTTATTTATTTTACTGAAATGTATTGGAATAATTTTTTAAGAGAGATTTTTTGAAGATGCCCCTGAACTTGTATATTTTGCACTGCTTTATAAATGATCCATTATCAATTAGGCTTGCGTGCATCTCGGCCGTGATCCAGCCAGGAGTGTGAGCGAGTGGCAGGTCCCGCTGGCCTCAGTGGGGCTAATTCTGGTGCTTCAAGTCAAACCACGCGCTCACCTTCTTCACTGGATCTGGGAATTTGTGCAAAAAAAAAAAAAAAGGAAAAAAAAAAAAAAAAAGCATTGTGTGTACCAGGAAATTGCTTCTTTTTCAAGTGAAAATAGACCTGTAGATCAGTTGAAAAAGCTTTAACGCCGTAACCAGCTACTCGTGGTGAAGTCGGTAACATCTGTCTCTTTGGCCTCCTCCTCCTTGATAAAGTAGCTTGCTATAAATAAATGGGAAAATTTCTTTGGAACAGGTGACCTGTAATTCTGCATTCAGTTAGGGATTGCTTGCTAAGCATTGGACTCCCCCCCCGGCCTCATCCGTAGCTGTTGTGTTGTGGGTTTGAAGGGCAGCGATTGTTTTTACACTTAATTTCTCCAGGTGGCATTCCCACGGCGCTCGCCCTCCGGCGGGATTCCCCCCGCGCCGTGTCCGTGCCTGTCCCGCCGGCGGTGGGGAAGGTGTTTGAGAACCAAACCAACCAAAACACTAGCGTAGGGAAGGACCAGATTCGCGGTGTTCAGTGGCACAGAAAGCAGGTAAGTGAAGCACAGTGTTAACGATTGCGAAGTTTCGACTCTTACACAGACACACACACACAGACACCGACACAGCTTGCCTGACTTGCTCAGTTGACGTAGTTCTGCAAAGGAAAGGTGACAGCGTTTTACACGACCAGGCTATTTATTCTAATTGGAACTTAGCTTCAAATTGGACAGATCGAAAATTTGGCAGCAGCTTCCGTGACTTTATTTCCACTGAGATGTTTTCACCTGCCTTACCAAGATCATTCTCAGTCTACTTTTTTAAGCTCTACCATGGACTTAAATTATTGAAAAATTTATTAATTGCTGACTATATAATAACCTTTGCTTGTATGTAACCGAATGGTTTTAAGAGCCAACATTTAGAGTATGACAATGGAGCTGAACAGTTTTTAATGCGCAAGCAGTTCTGTTCTTGTGTATGACTTGTAACCTTAATTTACTGTGTAAAGATGGTTACATTATTTCCTTAGCTTTGTTTGTTGGAGACAAATATAGAATGCTTGTTTAAGTATGTCAAAACATAATCTTATCTTGTGGATTTTTATGTTAATGTATTATACGAGCTATATTTTTCATTTGCCCAGAAAGACAGCTTGTATAACGCTTCTGAAAGTTTTTCCGCTCTGTAAAGTCTTTAGAGCTGACAGTCCTGTTAGGTTTGTTTTAATCTTCATGCTAAAGTGTCAATGGTGGTTTTGTGAACTGGTCAGAAATTCACAGGTCTTAAATGTTTTTGGGAAATTTATATTGGACACTGCTCTTTGTCTAGCAAATAAAAGATGTTAATATATTCCTGTTACTGGCATGTGCACGACTGTTATTAGAAGCCACTTTATCATTTTCCTGCTTTAAATAGAAATGTCTATTTATGAATTCTGCTTGTAGTTTTTTCACAAATAAAATAGTAAAATTTAATTAAATCTGAAAGCTCTCTTTTTTGGGAGATGCCAGTATTCAGAAAAGGTGGAGAGTCCTGTTGTTGGAGCAGCTTGTCAGTCTGTACATCCTGTCCAGGAGCCGCCGCTCGAGCACCCACTTCTGCAAGCACAGGTTGTGCACGTGGAGAACCTCAGTCAAGCAAGTAAATCCAGTTTGTTCTCTGGGACTCACAACGTGCAAAGAGTTTGTGGTGGATGTGTCTGCAGAATTTGGGCTTCTGGTCCTTGGAAATAATAATTTTCCCCCTTTCTGTAGTCACAGGAGCAGCGAGGCTTTAGTGCAGAGGATTTAGTGAGAGCCCTTGGGAGTTCCATTGGTTGCCTTGTGCTAACAAACTCCCAGGAGTAAATTTAATAAAATGTAATTGAGAGTCTAATTGTATTTCTGTAGTGTAAAAATACTGGTATTTTGCAAGCAGTATTTTTGTCTGCCTGGAAAACAAGGATGATGTGAATTACTGTGCTCTTTATAGTTCATGTTTCCCCTCCACCACCCGAAATGGGAGATGTGTGATGTAACTGTTCAAATATGAAGTTGAAATTTGAAAATGAAGCAATAGGTAAAATGCAAAGGGGACAAAATCTTACTCTAGAGCTTTGTTTTTTCAGGAATATATATGAGGGCAGTTCCTAAGCGAAAAGTAGTTTGGATACTTTTGTGTATGGTGGGGGAAGTGTGTGTTAAAAGTAGAGGTCGCTTTGAAAAACCCCGTGTGCAAACAGACTTAAATGCTTTTAACCTCAGTTGGAAGCGATTCAGATGCCTTTGTGCCAAGAATAAGAAGAAACAGGAAAGGTAGTGGTTGTTCTACAGGCCTGAAAAGCACTCGCTTGGCATGCTGAGGGCTGAGCAGAGAAACAGTCCTTGCCTTGAAGAGCCTACGGTCCCCATCCTCCACCTGTGACCAGCCAAAGGTGCCAGAGCTGCAGGGAGTGGAGGAGACAGGCTTCATCTTCATCACCTTGATGCTTGAAGGTGAAGGCTTGAATGGAGCCAGCAAGATTTCCGTAGCAGTGCTGTCTCCCCTTAAGTCACCCCTTCACTGACTGATCTGGGAATCCCTTGCCTTGGAGCCCAGTGAGCCAAGGGCCACCTCCAATGCTGGAGCTGCAGAGCTGGCCCTGCTGCAGGAGAAGGGGGTTGAAGGCTGCAGAAAAAAGGGCACCCAAGGCTGCTGCAAGGTATGTTCTGGACTTGAGTGTTGTGTTGGAAGGTTTCTGTTTGTTACCTGTAGGGAGTTTTCAAGGCCAGGTTGGCCTGGTCTAGTGGTCTAGTTGGCAACCTGGTCTAGTGGAAGGTGTCCTTGCTTGTGCTAGAGGGTTGGAACAAGATGATCTTTAAGGTCCCTTCCAAACCAAACTGTTCCATGATTCTAAGTAACAAGAGGATGGGGAATTCTCTTCATGGCTCCTTATGTTTTGTAAACTTCTGGGACAGTCAGTTGTTTTAAGATTTGTAAGTGTTATAACAAACAGCACCAACTTCCATAACTGGGAGAGAGAAGAAAAACCCTCTCCTCTGTAAGGGTCACGTGTCAGCTAATTTTTGAAACTATTTTTATTTAAATCTGACTGTGCCCCCTTCACACAGCAGTTTGGGGGCAATTCAAATATGAAGATGGAACACCCTGCAGTCAGGAAGGAGCTTTAGGAATCTGCAGCAGGGCTGTGCCTCTTCCTTTCCTGCCTGACACGCAGCCCTCAGAGTGATGAACTGTGTAAGTCTGGCAGCATTTAGGTCACAGTGAGAGTTTCCAGGGGCCAAAGCAAAAGTTGTCTGCAAAAGACACGATGGATGTGATGAACAGCCGTGCTGGACCAGCTGTATCCCGTGGGAATGTGATTCCTGTTCTGAGTCAGCAAAGCACCCTGAGACAAGGCTTGTGTTTGGATCCCAACTGCAGGCAAAGTCCTTCCCATCACATGGAGGCAGCTACATCAAGAAGAAATTGCAGCTGTGATTGCAGAGCTGCTGTCCATCTTTCCTTCTTTGCATGACCAAAAGAAAAGAACAACCCCAAAAACCTGGCTGGAAAACTGATGCCACTTAACTGCAGAAGATGGGTATGAAAAGGATGCACTTCTGTGCTTATGGGTTTGTGGATCCCTCTGGGATGCACATGTTCAGCTTCAGGCAGATGTCTTGCCTTGCAGCAGGTTGGATGGACTGCTGGAGCCCCATTTATTTGGTTGTTTAAAGGCAAACCTGATTCTATGATGCTTTAAAGAGGGCAGAGCTCTGAAACTTGTGATTCACAAACAGAAAAGATTAAAAAAGACCCAAACTGATCCTGATCACTTATGGAGAACCAGCAGGACTGAGTGGAAGAGGGAGAACAGCTGAAGTTTGTAACACCTGGATGCCCTCATGGCTTTTGTAGTTGTAACAAGGAGAGGGAAATGTCAGGTCTTTCTGCCTGCCTTTCTCTTGGCTGTTTCTGGAATATTTACGTGCCTGTGTTGTGCTTGTCTTTGCTCCTGCTGTCAGCAGACACAGCGAGGTTTGTTTGCTGTTTTCCCCCTTACAATGATGGATTGCTTGATATTTGTATGGAGCCTCGTTCCAGACAGGGTTGGGGCTGATGCTGATCCTGGCTGAACCCATCTAATAAGAAGACACTGGAAACTTCAGACGTGTTTTCTCATTGTTTATTCTCAGCAGAGAAAAACCTGCGTGCAGAGATCACCAGCAACATCAAAGGCTGTTTCAGAAATTCCTAATCAAAGCACTTCACACCACTGCAATTATCCCACTTGCAAAGCTTCCCCATGGCAGAGCATGGAAGCCTGTGACAGTGAAGAGTGCTCTATACCTAGCTCTGGTCTTCAGTTAATATTAAAGCTAGAAAAACCATGTCTTCCTGCAGCCCGTACTGCGCTTTCCCAGCACTTGCCTGAAGTCCCCTGTTGCTCCTTAAACGGGGATCACTACTCACACAGCAGTAACTGATCTGGCAGCTCTGGCTGTGCAGGGAACACATGAGCCAGTTGTGCTTCCTAGATGAGGAATCAAGAAACAGGTACTCCTTTGTTCTCCTCTGTGTATCCATACAAAACTAAAAGAGAAATTGCTCTCCACCATGGCTATTTATTATTCCCGGGATCCTGAATATTTCATGATTTTCTAACATTCTTAATTTTTTTCAACTTTTTTTTCATCATTAGGAGTTGTCAAAGCTGTTCCGACCTCCTTGAGAGGCTGTTCCAGCACACTCCTCTGAAAACATTCTGAGGAAAACTTAAAACTGCACAGTAACAACTGGAGAGTCCCAGTGTGAGAATCCCCGTTGCTCTTCATCCCTGCCTTGGCAACCCTCCCCTCCTCCAGCCAGCAGGTGAGACAGAGCCATTCAAAGCCTGTAATGCCGATATTCACTAAAATACCGTGAAATTCCCAGTGTAATACACACTTGATAACAGCACATCAAAGGCTTTTAGGATGCATTAATTGGCCACAGCTTCTGGATCTGGCCGGAGTTGGAAGGAGAGGTCTGAAGTGTTGGAGCTGCTCTAAACTGCTCTCAAGTGTTGGGAAAAAAAACCAAGCTGGGGAGCTGAATTCGGGTACAAAATATCCCTGTGAGCAGGAGGAGGCTGGAATGCTGCAGAAACAGCACGTGGTGGCTGGCCCAGGTAAGAAGAATGGGAATGGATAAAGCTGATTTTTGTTCCTCTTCAAGCTGTGCTGTCTGATTCATGTTGCCCAGGAGGTTTGGTGTGGAGTTGGCAGGAGGAGTTTTCCATGTTTGTGTGGGTATTTCAGGAGGGATTAAAGCTCAGAGTAAAGAAGCAGAACAACTGAGATTTTAATTCTGCCTTCACCCAGAAATTAATACCTATCTAATACTTATAATCTTCAATATAGATGGTAGATTTTTACATAGGTTGTAGAGATTCTGTGTAACAGGCTAAAGATGTGGGGAAGTTTAAAAGCGTGACTTGTCAGATGTTGTCTCTAATAGGGGTTTACTCTTTTTTTGACTCTCTGGAGGAATCACCAGCATAAGCCAAATATAAATAAGGCCAACAGTCCCTCCCACCACCTTTTGGGTG